CCCCAAAACCCCAAAACCCCAAAACCCCAAAACCCCGATAACCATAATCTATCAAATTATAATGGAATTAATGAGAAAAAATTAAAATATAAATAATAGTTTAAGCAGGAGAGAATATGTCAGCAAACTAATCATAAAACAAGAATCAGGGAGCTGGATTAGGCAGTAAAAACTAGCAAACTTTATTTAATGGGCTTCAAGATTGATCTTAATCATAGGCAATTTTAACAACTTAAAATAAGAATAGACAGTCTGAGGCAGTAGGTATAGGGTTTCTAGGCTAAAATAAAAATCTACCTACTCTAAACTTATCCGATGTTGAAGGAGGTGTAAATGACAAGAAATGGCATGAGCATAATTCATTTGCTATATCTCCTATTAAAGGGTCTTTTACTATGGACTAATAAGAGCAATAAAATCTAAGGAAGCTTGAACAAGAGTTCAGTAAGCTTAATATCAAGGAAATATAGCCTAATGGAGGGGGTATGGGAAATCATAATATGATTGCAAGTAGAAACAACAGCAATCAAATTTAATTTAATGATAGTAGCGACGACTTTTTACCAATAGTCTACGAGATTGAAGAAATTGATTGCAGAATGACGGACATGGAGGAGAGGGATAAAAATGACCAGAATGGAGGCAACAGCAATAGAAGTGTGAGAGGTTCACTTTTCAACTCTCCTAAGGACTTCCCAATAATTATCCCCTCAAATAAAATTAATGAAAGTTAGGTGTCCATTCTATCACATAACAACCTGGCTATGTTTGATAATATGAAATAGTTCTAAGATTTGCTTCGTTATGATACTGATAGAAATCTAGATATTTCAATGAGCTCAGTTTGTTCAACACCAAGGAATTAGTTTTTGCCATAAGACTTGATAGATATGAATGATAGCAGGTATGAAGGACTGTCCTCTAACGGCGGTATGGGTAGAATGAGTCGAATTAAGAATGGGTATGAGATTTAGCAATCTCCTCACAGAATAATGGCCAGAAATAGTGATAGTTTTGCTGAGGGTCGTATTAACAACTAGATTGATGGGCTTAATAATATGACACCTAGAATGTATGCCTAGAATCAAAATTTATTTTCAACATAAAGACTTAACGATAGTGGCTATCCCCCTAATTCTAAAGGTTCTGCTGTCACATCTGAAAGAACAACTCTTTAACAATAAAGGTCATCAGCAGAGGCCTCAGAGATAGAACGCGAATTAAATAAACATTAGAGGTACCAGAAAAATGGCTCTAGTAGTATAGACAAGAATTACGACCCAGAAAATATGAAAAAGTAGATTTAGATGTCAATGCAAATTTAACTGTAAAATTTGATAAACAAGCTAAACGAGAAAGAGAAATAGTATATGGATAATGAACGTTAATATAGTAAACTCCAGTCTTAGCTAACAACGATAGATAATAAGACTTCTAAAATGGAGGTGTAGTTGAAGGATGAGACTAATAGAAATGCTTAACTGAGAACATAAATGAATTTTCTCATTTAGACTTAGTTTGGGGTTGATAAAACCTAAAAAATGCTGCAGAGATTTATGCTGGGTAATCATCATAAAAGGCATTAAAATTAATGAGTAGACAAAATATGTGGCCATTAATTAAGAGGTGGTTGATGAACATACCTTTCATATTGTGATATAGCTTGATGTAACTTTTAATGTATAAATAATAGGAAATATTTGGATATATAAAAATAACTCGTATGTAGAATATGTTATATTGTGACTGTTTATTTTTAAAACTTGAAAACAAGCCTAGATTTTGCTTTATGGGGTTTTGGGGTTTTGGGGTTTTGGGG